TAACAGTGGTAAGAATATATTAAGTTATCCCGTTTTAACAACTCTCTAAACTAACAGCTATTCTTCAGTGAATATTCATTATCTTTATTTATCCATTTTGACAGGATGTTTTTTTATGGACCAAATTTTTATTTATTTTAGATTTTCCATAAACAGAACATAATAATGCAACCATCTAAGCCACCTAAGTTCATTACTCCATGGAAAGAGTATACACAAGGCATTTGGAACACGCTCCACACAATGGCACCTGTGAGACAATTTAAGTGAATCACTAAGTGATTTTGAGTTTTGAAAGCCAAATTTACATGGGAATTCTTTAAATTAAAAGCTGGATCATCAAAACCAATATTCTGAACAATGAGAGTTGCCGATAATTTGTTTGAAACATTTAAAAGAAGAGTTTTGCTCAGTCCAGTGGATTGTATGTGGACAGAGACATTGACAGGATAGAGAATTAATATCAATTGAGAGTGTAAATCTTCAATCTGCCAAAGCCTATCTTCGTTAAAACATCTGTCTTTTCTTTCACTGACAAGGAAAAGAGAACAGTACATTATGTGGAAGAACACAATCATTCTGGAATATAGGAGAATGGCAAGTTTTCTGGTGCTTTCTGTCACACTTCTCTGGATGATGCTGTAAACATCATTATTACCAAAAATGCTTTACTTCAACATCTTTGCATTATTCCATACAACAACAGAAAACATCTAAGACTGATATGGTCATTACTGTAATCCAGAGACTGCATGTTCGTTATCTTGTTAATGAAAGATGAAATAATTTCAGGCATACCTTAACACCCCAGGAACCCTTTTGGTTTTTGGTTTTAAATGGCTTTTGCTCTTGATAAATACATTCACACCACTCAGAATACAATGAGTTACTTGTATCCGTACATTTGGTATTTTTCAAATTCTCTCAAACTCCTGAAAACAAATATAGAGTTTTGCAAATAAATGCAAGAAATTATGAGTTGGTCATTTAACAGGAATGGTCTGCACCTCTTACATGACCTCATTACCTAAATTGGAATGTATGTCTTATGCTGTACAAGAAATGCGGATCAGCTTTGGTGAAGAGGGGTATTTAAATGAACTGATACTTATGAGGCTTGATAAGATGTCCATTTTGCTAGACGCATTGTAATGCTTTGTCAAGGATTACAACATGATAATTTATTAGTTACTTATGAATGTATCAGATCTGATGGCTTTTCATTAAGGAAAGAGAAAGGCTAAAAGTGTTAGACCTTGCATCTTTAAAAACAATTTATATGATAACTCTTTATAAGGCAGAATAATTTCTCCCAATCTGTTTTATGACAAAGAAGTTCAATTTAGTAAATGCATATGCTGTATAACCATGTGTAATATTGGGCTTTCATTGCTAGTAGAAGTACTACTATCACTGAAACTAGTACTACAGCTTCTACCAATTGAAATTGTCATTTGGTTACTTTTTATTTTATCTGCTGTGAAGAGATATGACCAGAGGAGGGCAGTATTTCTACTATATGAATTTCTATACTGACAATTTTAGTTAAAAAAAACGTTTTTAACTCTGTGCATAGTAGGAGAAAAGTGTATAGTTGCTAATCTTTATGTAATATCTGACATTACCTGAGCAACACTGGAGAAAGTCTTCTTTATCTGCATGTACAATTGGATAGAACTCCCTTCAGAGTGCTCAGATATGAACTGTGTGAGGAAATCCACTCAGACAAGCAGCACCCTGAAAAAACAACAACAACATGGACCCAGGGAGAAAATACAGACTCCACACACAAGGCACAAATGAGTGTGCCATTTTGGCCCTATAATATCGGTGCAAATTTCATGTGCTTCAAAACCATGTGATCTTTTTCACTTGGTACTAACATTGTAGTCCAGTCATAGACCTGCAGAAATGTACTATTTTTATTAGATATGTTTTGATTTAAAAACAGCAAGCTGTTGTCTACCAAACTAAAATGACAGTTGGCTGCCTGGATGTGGGACAAAGCAGAAATAAGTGAGCCCTATATGTATTAATGTAGAATATAGAGCTTGAAGACCACAAATATCACATTAAGACACAAGATATCAGACAGATATATAAAAGATAGACAGAGATATTAATATATGTTTGATATTATATAAAACATATAAACCCAACAATATCTGTAATAATAGTAATATTTGTTAGCTGTGACTGAAGAGTATTGGATATATTGGCAGTTCAAGGTTCCTGAGGGGTGACAGATTGACCAGGAGGATTAAACAGTCTGATCCCCCAAACACCCAAGAATCTGCTGCATTAGTTGTAGTAAAGGGGGTGGAGTATAGTGTTAGTGAAGCAGCCACTAGCAACACTGGGCTAAATTCATCCTGTATTTATTCATATATTATTATTCATATTATTCAGAACATAAGTTGGCAGATAATGGGCACAGGGCCAGGATACAAAGGCAATATTGTTTATTGCAAATCACTCTGTGAAACTTGTGGTGTTTATCCATAGAACTATTTTGGATTTAAGTAAGAAAAAGACATTCTTCTACTGTAAATCATCCCAATAAATGCTAATAATAAACTCCAGCAGAAGAATAAAGCCACAGTTACATCAAGGCCAAAATACAAAATGAAACCAAACTATTTTATGATTGGAGTTGTGATGAATGATTATTATTGTAAATATTTTCTAGTTGCTTAGCTAATACTCTTATCCAGGGTAATTTACAACATGGAAAAGTATCTTTTTTTCCTCATTTTTACATGTACGTAAGTCAATTATGAACAATTTCTCATTTAAAGCAAATAATCTGGAGACCCATTTATACAGCAGGGCATTTACTGTAGTAATTGGAGTGAAGTACCTTGCCCAGCATCATCCCACCTAGGATTTGGACCATCCAGTGTGGTGTCCAGACCTCTAACTCCTACGCATAAGAATTTAAGAAAAGTTTGAAATAACATAATTCCATTTGGATGAACTAGACCATTTCAGTTGCTAATAGATAACTGTTCTGAGCATCTCATCTCACTTTTCTTGGTTTCAACTGCATGACTGGGTAGCTTGATGTACAACCCACTTGACTCTTTCAAGCACACTTTTTCCCTTCCACAGAGAAGGGGAAAGAGGAATAGGAAAAGATTTTGAGAGGATAAGTTTCAGGTGATGAGAGTATATCCCAGAAGTCTCAGAGTATCAGAGTATCAGAAAGGGGAAAAGAGAAAAACATCTGAGCATCATCATTTTGCTAATTACATATAAAATTACGCAAGGAGATGAGAGAACTCAGGGTGCGTGAAGGGACAGAAACCTTATCTCTGCAAACCGGCACCCTTGACACTGTCTTCACTAGTATATTTCCAAGTATCCCATGAGTCCAGGGTCAAACTTGCAACTGTTACAAAATATTTCGTTTCTGTGCAGAATGTTTAATAAATATAGAATCTTCTGTGGAAAATACAATAGGCTTATGTTATATTTATACTTTCAATGTACTAAAGACCATGCATTGTATATTCAGCCTTCACAAAGATTTATAGAGTCTTAAACTCTAAATACAAAGGTTTATAGAATTATTATAATAATAATTGATTACACTTATGTAGTGCTTTTCTGGACACTCAACTCAAAGAGCTTTCCAGGTAATGGGGACTCCCCTCCACCACCACCAATGTGCAGCATTCACCTGGATGCGACAGCAGACATAGTGCGCCAGAAAGCTCACCACACATCAGCTATCAGTGGGGAGGAGAGCAGAGTAATGAAGCCAATTCATAAATGGGGATTATTAGGAGGCCGTGATTGGTAAGGGCCAATGGGAAATTTGGCCAGGCCACCAGGGTTACACCCCTACTCTTTTTGAGAAATGCCCTTGGATTTTTAATGACCAAAGAGAGTCAGGAGCTTGGTTTTACATCTCATCCGAAGCACAGCCCCTGTTTTTACAATATAGTGTCCCCGTCACTATACTGGGGCATTAGGACCCACATGGACCACAGGGTGAGCACCCCCTGCTGGCCCCACTAACACCTCTTCTAGCAGCAACCTTTTTTTTCCCAAGAGGTCACCTATCCAAGTACTGACCAGGCTCACACCTGCTTAGCTTCAGTGGGTTGCCAGTTGTGAGTTGCAGAGTGATATGGCTGCTGGCTGCAGAATTGTAGCAGCAGCATTGCCGTATCCCCAAGGATAACAAGGGTGCTGCTGAAAGTGGTGCTGATGGACCGGTAGATGGCACTCTTCCTCCTGGACATCAATTGCCCAAGCTACGCCCTAGAATGGTGAGAAGAAACTCTGCGCTGTAGGAGCTGCCATCCTGCAGGGTGAGATGTTAAACAGAGGTTCTGACTAACTGGCCATTAACATCCCATGGCACATTACAAAAGAGCAGGGATCTCATCCTTGCTCCCCGAGCTGAAATCCACTATAATTATTTTTTATATGTACATTTGCCCTGGAATTCAGTTACAGTAGCATTATAACTAGGACATTATAACTTACTGTAAGCATGAATGCTGCTTTCCTCCAAGATAAATAATTGTAGATATTATGACGCGTAAGAGCACATATGGGCTTTACTTAAACCACAACAATGAATGTAAAATCAATGATAAAGGAGTGCAAATGTTTTCTCACATTATTTGACGGAACAACTGATTCAGGTATGGGTCTATTTTTTTTCAATTGCTTAATAAGACCTTTCTCGAAACCGATATTATTTATTGTCCAAATGACGCATGTGCAATAACTTCGAACTATACTTTAAGTGTACCCCGTCCTGATGTTTTATACAGTACTGCACTAGATAATCCACTAAGGGGGTGTTAACTGGCACCTTATCAGTGTTTTTCAAGCATCTGTTCTGCAACACATTGGCACCTTGGCGTCGCCTCTGGCGTTTTTCTAAGGGCTTCGGACGAATTTATAAGGGAAAACCCCCGTAACATTCTGGGACGGTCCTGGATCCTGGAATTCTCTGCCGTACAAACTAGAGGGCGGCAGAGGGTCAATTGTGTTCTGCTCTTCCCTACTGAGCAAACAGTTTAAATGTGTAATTCAACATGCCAAAACCCTTCATTCTCAAAATGGTACTTCATTTACAATGATAATGCAAAGATTATCTCTTCCATAAATGTTGTATTTCTTAAACTGTGCCTCTGGTTCGCAACTAAAGAGATGGAAGGGGTGCTTTCTCCGGTTGCTCTGTGCTTCCCTGGATGAAGGGCGGCCATATTGTTGGATGGGCTGTTGCAAGTTTAGTGAGAGGGAAGTACACAGGAACTGGTAGACTTTTTAGTCACTTGGTCGCCTTTTGTCATGTAGATTACATTTTGTACCCGTTGCACCTCGCAGGCTTTTTTTCGGTCTTTGTTTTTTTTCTTTATTTTTTTCATTTACTTGGTCTTTTTATTTGCACGTTGCTTTCCTTTCTTTCGTTGGGGTGTTCTGATTTGTTCCCCTTACATTATTAAACCTACAGTTTGTTGCGGGTCTCCTGCATGGAACAGAGATGGGAGAGGCAGTGATTTCAAGTTTAAAATAACAATAAAAAACATTGCCGAGGTTCTCGTCGAAAGCATTACTTGAAGAAACACAAAGACACGCATGTAAGCTAACAAAGAAGAGGAGGATTTAAAGAAGGTAAGAGACTTGAAAATTCGTGGAAACATGAATCGCAGTCTTAATATCAAGTGGCTAGGCCTTGCGTCTTCTTTTTGTGTTAAGAAAGTTTGATGTGACCATAACAATGTTAGTTTGGGTTTCATTATGTACAGATATCACGATGCTCTTTTTAATATGACGTTTCAGTTATATTTAAGTAATGTTACTTTTTATGAACAACGCAGTAGCATAACTAAGGTTTCTGCCTTCTAAGGTTGATTAAAAAATCTCAATTCTGGTTAAATTATTAAATTATTTCATCGCATTATTTATGATTTATATGTATTTTATTTAAAGCTTTTATAGAGAAAAACGCGTTTTGAAGGTTTATTGCGAAACATTTACGTGACCGGTTACACTAACTGCAAGGGTGCTGGAATATCTTGCAACAGCTGTTACTGTACATCAAGGAAACTTGAATAGTATTTCTTTCCTCTCTCTGTCAGAGTTACTTACTCGGTCATTGTTTTGATCTAAATTGAGTTATGGGCCCTGGATTCGCGGCTGTTTAGCAGAAAAATTTGTTTTTGAAACAGTCTGTAGTTGTTTTTTCCGCTTTTTTTCCATTCATTAAATGTTTTCATTCTTGAATTAAAATGCGGAGAGAGAATTCAATCACGTGGCCGGTTTTCATTTTATAGAGCTTTCCACACTTTGTGCTCGTAGTTTAATCTAGTCTAGTTTAATATTTTTGGGCTACTATGAGTAGCCAGCTGAAGACGAAGGTTTTTCTGCTAGGTTTTATTATTGTTACAAGCTTCACTTAGGTATGTGCCTTTAACGCAGAGTAGTGGTTATTCATAGAGGCTCCATGTTTGAACCTTGACTCCTGTAGTGTACTGGTCCATTAAAGACTGTAGGAGGGTACAGTAACTAACAGTTCTGTTTTAGAAGTAGTTCTCACAGTTAAGTCTTGAGTTTTTTATCCTTTTTATTGATTAACCATTGTTTGTAGGTCTGTACAGTACAGATCTAGTTTAGTATATGTAGATTTTGTTTAAATTGCTGAACAAGTCCCAGTTTGCTGAACAAGTCCCACTTTTCATTCTCACATGGATAGTCACGATCATCTTGTGAAATAATGGGTAAAGAAGTAGATCCAGGAATTTCCATGGGTTGTCTATTTCACAAAGTATCCCAATACAAAAATCTTTGCCAAACATGTGTGAGGTTCTTAAGTAGTCTTATATTAGGTATGGAATAATCTTTAGTGTTTGTGAAGGACTTTCATACTTGTTCTACAAATCTACTGTGATATAACTTAGACAATGTGAAATGTATTTATGATCGTTACATCTGGAGCTGCTTCCAGTGTGACTGAAAGTCACTCATGATGTCATTCACAGCGCTGATAAAGATTAATTGCTTGTTGCCTCCTTCTTCCTAACACCTGTACCTGATGCATATAGCTTGTTATGCTGTACATCCACAGGTTGGGATACAGTGACAATTCACCTATAGTGAGTCCGCATTCCATCCTCAACAGACAATGTTAAACCCTCTGCCTGGCTCCGCTAAACGGAGCCAGTGACTTATAAATCTAAACATAACGCTGTTCTCTTGAAATTCAACATTAAAAAAGTGTTCAACATTAAAAAAAAAACGTTGAAAAAAATGTAGTTGAACTTGATTTACAGGCTATCAGCCACCAATACTTAATTCCCAGAAGAAGACGCATAGAATGAGAGAGGAAGGTAGTTTGGAAATATAGCATGTTGGAATTCATCCGGTTAACCCATTGTGCTGGTCTTTCTGGTAACTGAAATGAATTCTGTTTTTATGATGTTTAGTGTCATCCAAGACACACCAGAAATGTCAGACTGCCATTGTGGGCCTGTTCTGAAATATTCTGTTCTTTCTAAAAACAGAAAAAGCAGTAACACAACAGAGTAGCAGTCATGGGTATGCTGAACACTCGGTTCTTTTAATAGAAAACCTTTAAATGGTGTTTTGTGTAATTGTTTAACATGCTCTGCTTCATGCTTTTTGATATAAAAACAAGGTTTTTTTCTTATTCAGTATAACTACTGTGCTCTTCCTTTGTGCCATCCAAACTAATTTGACCACAGGATGCTTTTATTCGTATTGTATTGATATTCCATTTGTGACTACTATAAAATTCCTTACAGTACAGTATATTTGGTGTTCAGTTTTCATTTTGAAAATTGACCTTGACAAGTTTGGCAGACACTGTAGATTGTTGGTATATAATGTAGTTTTGTCAATGATGATGTGGTTTAAATTGTTAACTTTATCCTTAGCATTACACATAGTGAGTGCAGAAGAGGGCTGCCTGTCTAGATCTGTAAAGCAAAATGGTGAACTTAAATGTGTATTTTGGAAACATAAGCTCTACCATATATGTTTTTTTTTTCTTCAGAATTTCATTTTATGTTTCGGGATTTATTTCTGCATTTGTTTTTTTCCTTTGCACTACATCATGTAACTGGATTTAGTGTGGATCTTGATGCTCTTGAGTTTTACTAGACTTATTCATTTTCTGCATTCATCTTTTTACAGATTATAGTTCAAAGGTCCAATAAATGAGAAAATGTAGTGTTTTCAGTCCTGTGGCTAATATGTACTGTGAAAGGCCTTTGGCAGACATAGCAGAAAATAATTGTATTCTGTTAATTCAACATGTACTTGGTATGCTTTTTTTGAAAGAGAAATGATCTGAGGATTTTTTTTCTCCTGGATGGTGCAGAATACACCTGGCAAGTACACCATACACAGTTCTAACTCAGTGGAATCCAAGAAGAATTGCTTTATTTGAGGAACAGCTTAAAGGGAGATCAAGACATAAAATCTAAATCTTAAAGACAGACAAACCCTGCAGCTTATCTCAGGTCTGGCTGAAAATTTTAAGATGCTTATTTAAATTAGAAAAGTTCTTTAGGGGTGTGAGGTGCCATTAGTAGTCATGCATGAAGGTGAGGAATTGGGTCTTTGTCAGTAAAAATGAAAATTTAGTATCGCCTGCATTTTCAGTATGATGCAGATAAGATAACCCATGTTTGTTTGTTTGACTTTATTGACTTGAAAAGAATTAGAGCTAATCTGCAGTAGTTATGGTAAGATCTGGTTGCACAATCGTATATTTGCAACAAGTACATTACTTCTGCAAAGAAACATTGAAAAAATCTTTTGCTATCAACTTCACTATTAAGTAAATTAAAAACAATTAGTGATGAGTATCTAAAATAACTTAATAATGTGTATTTTACCAGCAGCTCAGAGACCAGAGAGTAATTTATAAAGATAACCAGTCAGATGTATTTGCCCAGCTGTAAAAACTGCCTGCAGATTGCACAATTTAAGCATTTCAAATATAAGCCATACAAGTCTTGGTGGTGTGAGATTTCTGGAATTTAACGAGCCAGAAAAATTACTTTTTGAATTGAAGGTGAATAAATCCGAAATGAGTGACACAGGTAGAGGAAAAATTGAATGAATGACTTTTGGTTTTTATCAGATTGCAGACCTGCACTCACAGGTCGCTATGGCAACCAGCCACGTTTCTGTGCCACCTGATTCTTCTGGCAGGGCCGTATGAACTCGTTAGGGGTGAGATTATGAGTACTCCTGCCCCTAACGGCGCCTCACATGGTTATTCCGTGTATTTAAGTCCTACCTGCACTCTACACCAGCGCTCAGTCATTGGGTTTGCTTCCCTGGAATCAAACCCCTTCCTTGCTGTGCTATACCATTACATGCTCACTTCACCGTGTTCTGACTTTTGCTCATGTCCTCATATTCTCTCCTGGATTTACCTTGTTCTTCCTTGTGTCTACCAGGCTGAGGACTTTTGAAGCTTTGATTCGACTCCTGGATTTTCCCCTTTCTACAGACCTGCACCACTGCTCTCAGTGTAGTGCTTTCCACTTCACTCATGCCTGTTTGCTTGTTATCTGCTCAGAGCCTTGCGTGTGGATGCATCCCTCTGCATGTCAGTGTGCGCTGTTATGAGGACGCCAAGATGTTGATCGGTAGACTTGCCATTTGCCAGTGAGAAGCACAATACCCTTAGTACGAATTGCTTTCAAAACACCTCTGATGCCTTACCTACATTGACACTTAGATTAAGTACTTTATATCCTATTAGAAAATATTCATTCTGGCCCCTACTTTATTAAATTGTAGATCCATGTGACCTGACATGGGATCCTGGGCTACGCTGTAATGGCGGGGAAACAAACTTGCACTGTTCATCAAAGACTTTGACTGTTGGTTATCCATCTGTCCTGTCCATCAAGAGCTAGGGGATGATTTTTCGTAGTATTAAAGACAAAATTTTAGGGACAGCCTTTTCTGCTAGAAACAACATCGCACACTGCAGCTGGTTTTTTCTACTGTGAAGAAAACGAATGCAGTAAGAGTGATGTCCATGGCGGTGATCTGGAGCAGAAAGCAAAAAAATGTTGACTGGCCAAGATAACTTCCAGATTTAAATCCTGATGAATATAGATTTCATAGTCGGAGCACCCCAAAAATAGCCATTAGCTCAGTGACTGCAGTCATTGGATTGGCAAAGCTTCTCAAATTAATACACAAGGAGTTTGGTGAGCTCTGTGGGTTGTGGACTTCTTGCCGTTATTGCCTCAAAGGGATATGGAAACAAATACTGATGTTTGCACATTGAAACTTAATGTGAATGTGTCCCGATACTTGTGGAATACTTGTGGTCACTTAAAATCACTGGGTTGAACACAAAGTATGTTTTTATTTGAATATGATCAAATGTGTGTATGGAATTACCTAAAAATGAAGCATATAGTGCTTAATTCATGTTGGTCTCGTGATTACAAATTTCAGTTTAAGATGTAGTGGCTTAGGATGTTTTTCGTTCATCAGAAGTAGCTTTCATCACATAAAATACCAGATGCCACTGGTTTAGATCAAACATTCACACACATCTGAAGGAAAATAGCTTACAGTGCGTTTTAAAGCATTGCTCATGCATTTGGTCATGTGGAAAA